AATATATGCCCAGGAGTGGGATTCCTGGGTCCTATGGTAAGTCTATTCCTAGTCTTTTGAGGAATCTCCATACTGTTTTCCACAGTGGCTGCACCAACCTGCATTCCCACCAGCAGTGTAGGAGGGTTCCCTTTTCTCCACAGCCTCTCCAGCATTTGTCATTGGTGGATTTTTGAATGATGGCCATTCTGTCTGGTGTGAGGTGATACCTCATCGTAGTTTTGATTTGCATTTCTCTGATAATTAGTGATAGTGAGCCTTTTTTCCTGTGCCCATTGATCATTTGTATGTCTTCCTTGGAGAATTGCTTGTTTAGGTCTTCTGCCCATTTTTGGATTGGGTTGTATTCCTACCCAATGTCCTTATTTTCAAAGTTAATTTTCCTTCAACACTTCCTCACTGTTTCATCTGTAACTAAAAGTTCTTTTCATTTTTATTTTGACAGTTTCTCATTGTGTCTCTCTTCTGCTTATTCAGTTAATCACCGAGGTGTTTGTTCTTACTGTCTCTCGTGTGACGAAGGCTTCCTGCTCCCATTCCTATCTCACTCAGATATTCACTCTTTTCAGCAAGATCTCTGCATGCCAAACCTCTCCTCGTCATTTTAACCGCATGAAGATAGCCTTTGTGTTTCTGAGTTATAATACATTCTTATATAGAAATGTAAACCAGGAGAAGGTAAAATATCTTTTCCTTACTTTGTGCGTGGTGGGGTGTGTGTGTGTGTGTTTGTGTTGCCTCCTGCAAGCCTTTATATAAAGCCCCAGTGAAGTAGGTTGTAAACAGGGGATTTGTCTCCTAATCCTGGATGAGCTATCTGGAGGGGACACCCATTTTTTGTCACTGCCGTGTCACTCTGCATGATGAGTGTGAACTATTTCTCTTTCAAGAGTTGGTTCTTGGATCATCCAAACAGCATAAAACCTACATGGCTCTCTTGGTTCTTGACTACAGATTATTAGGGTATAGAGCTTTTTTTTTAATGATAAATTGTTGGACATTGATGGAGTCCTTTTCCTGCTCTGCGGATTTAGACTTTGATTCTAGCATATCTGGTCCATTTGCCCAGCACTCTGATGGTGGGCTGGGATCCACCACAGCCTCTCAGTTCCTGGCAGACAGAGATCTGGCCAGGAGTGAGATGGGCCCACCTGAGGACCCTGGGCCTGAACCTGGTGTGCTCTCCTCATGGAGGCAGGAAGCAGAGGAGGGCAGGGAGGCAGTGTTTCCTACCCCTCTGATGCTATGTCTGCAGGAAGTTTGTGCTCTGACCAATGGGACCAGCCACCCCTGCCCAGAAAGAAAAGTATTTAAGAGATAGGGAGAAGCCCCGCAAGTACATATTCTGTGCTACCCTCTCATGGGGAGGAGTAGAAGGAAGGAGAGATCATCACTTCCTCAGCAGCAGACTTGGAGGATGGATGGGCAGGACACACAAAACTCAGGTCCAAACAGATGAAGGTCATAGTTCACGACCACATACTAGTAGTTGATGGAGTCTCAGTGCAAACCCAGATTGATCTGACTTAAAACCTTAGCCCTGTGCTGTACACCAGAAACTAACACAACGTTGTCAATCAACTGTATGCCAATTAAAAAAAAACAAAAACAAAAAAACAA